AGAGAGAGAGAGAGAGAGAGAGAGAGAGAGAGAGAGAGAGAGAGAGATACGAGTCTGAAGTCAGTAGTAACATTATAGCTGTGAACATAGCAGTACAGTGTGTGTACAGTTTATTTGATCTGTGAATAAATGCTACAACTCTTCAAGACCCACGGTGGTTCCTGCAGCCCACTGCAGCCTGCTGATTAAAGTGACGGAAGTCAGTTACAATGAACCGGCTTTTCTCCTTCCAGTTTATATTTTTGAATCTTGAATTTTTCTTTTGAACTGTTTAACTGACAGAAATCTTATTGCCAGTTAACGATGAATTATTGACATCCCTAACAGGAAGCATAATCATCTTATTCCTAGCCCCAGTGAATTATGGGCTGGACCTCTGGTTATTAACTTCACTGACCCAGCATCTGTGAGACTGTAACAGGTGCCTTCCATTATAAACTGTAGTTGCGCCCATAAATCACACATGGTATAAAGGGACTGGGAATAAGGTGCATGGCTGATAACTCACCTTTCCTCGATGCTGCCTCTTTCCTCAGTCTGCGCAGTTTCTCCAGAGATCTCAGGATGTCCCCCATCCTCTTCACGTCCGCCTGCTTCTTCCTCACCTCACAGAGAACAGAGTCGGCAGCCAGCTTCAGCTCCCGCTCCTGGTCCCAAGAGAACATGTAGAGCCATTAGTAATCCATTAGTAATTCAACTAGAGATATACATACACAAGTAATCATTTGAGAATGGGCTATGGTTTTACAATAGTAAAAATATTATAATATTTTGAATATAAATCCTCAGACATCATCGGTCAACACTCATAATGGGGTCAATGCATGCTTTGCAGACTAACTTCTACCTCCTCCATTGTTTGTAGAGGAAGACAAAGATCAAACCTGAGTGAATGTTGGACTTTAATTATACATTCATCAATGACAGCTGAATACGAATGTTGCTCTGTGTCTGCTAGTTGTTTAAACATGTATTTGTTAACTCATTAGCCACAATAACTTTATTTGGTTTGATGTACACTTCTGTCCCCAAGTGGACACATGATGTGTATCCACATTTGAATCCTTTAGCACATGTAGTTTACCTTCTTCTTCTCCTCCACTTGTTGGATCCGCTGCATCCTCCACTTGTTGATGGCGGCCTCTTTCTCAGCGATGCGCTCCTCTCTGTGAGTCTCCTCCGTCTGGAGCTCTTTCCTGGCTCTCAGTCGCCGAGCCCTCCTCTTGGCAACACGGGACAGTTTAGCTTTCCACCCGTTTAAACATTCCCCGTCACTGAGGACTTTGAGTTTATCCTGCAGCTTTGTCTTCACATTCAAAGCCATTAAATACGAGTCCGCCCAAATGCACTCATTCTCCACGTTGTTCCTCAGAGCTTCGCAGGACTCTGCCAGCCGAGTGACGAGCTGAGCGGCCCTGTACAGAGCCTCTCCCGGGTCCGGAGCAGAGCTGTGGCGTAGCCGCTGCTGCTGGCTCTGTGGGGTCTTGGGAGTTTTGTCTCTGCCTTGTAAGAAACGTCCGACCCACTGCAGATCCTGCCTCCTTTGAAGGACCGCCTCATCCTCAGGTCGCGGTGTTGTAGCCGGACTCCTGTCATGCGGGCGGCCGAGCAGAGCTCCACTCTCAGAGAAGTCCTCATACTCGTGCTGTTGGTTCTGACTGGGGTCCATCTCATACCGCGTAGTCTGGGGACAGGGTCGAAACTGCTGGGTAAATGTGTCAAAGGTCGGGGCTCCTCTGCTGTTGAATGGGTTTATCGGAGCGGCGGTCACCGCGTTAGGGAAGTGTCCAGGTGGTGGGCAGCCGAAAGGAGGCGGGGGGACGGAGGGGTCAAATCCATATGGCAGGGGTCCTCCGAGAGACGGAGCAGGGAAACCGCATCCAAATGCGTACGGGAGACCGTCATATCCCCGTGTAGGTGTCCATTGTGGAGCAGTATGGTCCGGCTGTGCCGGTTCATGAGCCGCGCTGCTCGGCGGCGGTCTACTAGCGGTGTACGGTCTCTCCAGATAGCCGCCATTATACACAACAGGCTGCTGTGTTTCTGACGAAGAGTGGTGATATATGTTGTCCATGTCGTGTACAGTAGCACACTGGGGCACGTTACAACACTAACGTTAAATAGTTACATCCATTCCCATCTCTGCATAGAAGCCATGTTTAGTTGACGCCGTTTCCTCCTCTCCTCTTCCTCTTCCTCTTCTTCTTCTTCTTCTACTTCTACTTCTTCTTCATTTTATCATTTCCGGCAGACTAGGCACGGTTTACTGCGTTGCTGCCTCCCATCGGTGTAGAATCGTCATTGCTGTTTTTGCCCTCTGAAGGTACATCCCAAGTCTCTTAATTGCATCCCCGTTTCCCTCACTTGGG